GTGATTGATTAGGAACAAATACCCTAACCCCACAGAGTTACCGGTGCCGACGAGCAGCGACGGCGGCATGAAGGCTACGTGACGGGAAGGAAAGGAAACCCACGGGAGGCGAGAGAGTATTCAGCGTGGTAATCTAAAATTGGAATTTCAAAACAATAGAGACGAAATCCGTAACTTTTAACAAACCACATGGAGAAAAAAAAACATAATTTACTCAAAACAATCTAAAAAATCCAATTTGGATAACATTCATACGCTTCAGATTCATAGAACAACCTAATTGTAATGCATATGATTAATATATAGGGAAATTCAAACAAAAACACCTTAAAAATTTACAATATAAGAAGAAATTGTGGATATTTGTTCAATCAAATCCAATGATCATTATTAACTCATAGTAGTTAGGAGGTGGTTGTCCTAATGAGTGTAGCGGAGTGCTCCCTATCCTATTACTCATCTATAGGGCTATAAGGAAGTCAACCACGAATTCCTGAACCGTAAAGGGAACCGCCGCCGCGCTACCAGGAAGTTTGGGTAACACCCCATTTTCCTGATAAATATCCGCGGGAGGAAGAAAGCTAAGAGAAGACGCTCTTCTCTTRGGTCCTTTTTTTTCAGTGCAGTGTTAGGCTTACAAGTGCAATAAAGTAATTTGAGTTTAAGAGAGAGAAGGCAAACCCCACGACACTTCATTCTTCTCATTTTCTTCTTTACGATTGCTCATGGTTTGAAAGGTTACTGGACATGAGTCCAAAGAAAAAGGAGAGGGACCGTTCAATGAATATCTTCTTCCTTTGGATCGTCTCCCTTGGCTAGTGGCTTGACCTCTTCTTCCTCTTCAATGTCATGTTTATGTAGAAACCAAGTTGCTCCAATGAACAAAATTCGTTACTGCACCAGCAAAGTTTTATTCAGTGGAGCAATTTGGTTTTTACACGAAACATGACGAAGAAGAAGAAGTAGAGGTCGAGCCATCCATAGAGAAAACGATCCAAAGAAAGGAGAGATTGACTGGACAATTTCTAAACCTTCTTCTTTTTCTTTGAACTTGCATCCAACACCCTTTTTAAACCATGCCCGCCCCTGGAAAAAAAATGATTCAAATACAATTACCAAGACAAAAAGGTAGAGAATGAGGGGTTGGTAAGGTTGTGTTTTCTCTCTCTAAAATTCAAGTTAATTGAGTGCGTTTTTAAGCCTACTAATGATAATTTAATCAGGGTCGTTTCTTAACATATTAAATATGAGATCTGTATATTGCAATGCACATGATTATACATAAGGAAGTTTAAACGAGAACATCTTAAAAATATACAATACAAAAACAAATTGTGCATATTTGTTCAATCAAATCCAATGACCATTATTAAACTACATTTTTAGACTTAAAAGTAAAATAAACTAATTTGAGTTTTAGAGAGAGAAGGCAAGTCCACGACACTTCATTCTTCCCCTTTTCTTCTTTGCAATTGCTAATGGTTTGAAAGGTTAGTGGACGTGACTTCAAAGAAAAAGGAGAGGAACCGTTCAATCAATATCTTCTTCCTTTGGATCGTCTCCCTTGGCTAGTGGCTTGACCTCTTCTTCCTCTTCAGTGTCATATTTATGTAGAAACCAAGTTGCTCCAATGAACAAAATTCGTTGCTGCACCAGCAAAGTTTTATTCAGTGGAGCAATTTAGTTCTTACACGAAATATAACGAAGAAGAAAAAGAAGTCGAGCCACCCATAGGGAAAACGATCCAGAAGAAGGAGAGATTGATTGGACGGTTTTTGTAACCCTCTTATTTTTCTTTAAACTTCCGTCCAAACCTTTTTAAACCTTTTTCTTTAAGCCTACGAATGATAGTTTAATCACAATCGTTCCCAATAATATTAAATGTGAGATTTGTATGTTGTAATTAATGCACATGATTATTTATAGGGAAGTTAAAACAAGAACACCTTAAAAATACATCATACAAGAAGACGACTATTATTAATCTACAATTTGAGACTTATGGATCATTTACCAAACACTTACTCGGTAAGCACTTATCAGTAAAATTCAATACTATTATTTTCTTGCTGAGTAAAATTTTAGTCAACAAAAATGGCTTTCCATGCCTATACCGCAATTACCCGGTAAGAGCTAACCGTGGTAAAAATCATTGCCACTCACTTACCGGGTAAGTCTATCAGTCATTGCCTTATTCTTATCGGATAAGATTTTTGGTACCTACCATATTTGTCCGATAAGATAATATAACTTAGTAAGAACTTACCCAAATAAACATTTGGTATACAGACCCTTACGATTGCAATAAAGTAATTTGAGCTTTAGAGAGAAGAAGACAACCCCACGATTAACACCAAAACTTATTTCCATACCATGTACACCTTCCAAAATATTCAAAACAAATTTCATAGTATAGATAATACATCATTAAACATTAAGTGGCTGTTGATGAACACAAACTTAGGGTTTATTTCGGCCGCTCATTGGAGGCTCCGACCTGCAAATCGATGGTTTCATCGGTCCATTCGAGATGTCTTTACTGTTCAATATTCACGGTACGTAATCAGATTTATGGTAAATATCATCATCACTCATCATATAAACGATGGTAACCATCATCTCTAAATCTAATCGAATATGCATCTCTTACGCGATAACAATCAAAAAAACAAAAGACGAAAGATACCCTAAATGATCGATAAACATGCAGTTTTAATTTAACCTAAATATATAAAGGAGGGGGTTCGTAGATCCTTTGAACATACATAACGAGGTGGTGATCGATTAGGAACAAAAACCCTAACCCTAAAGAGTTACCGGTGCCGACGAGCAGCAGGGACGGTGGCGTGAAGGCGACGTGACGGGAAAGAAAGGAGACCCACGGGAGGTTAGAGAGTTTTCAACGATGTAATTCTGGTATTTATAGCCGGGGGGGGGAAAGGATGATTAATTTGAGGACTTGATGACGTGGCATGTTCTTCCCCACACGTTATTTTTAATAAAAAGATATCAAATAATTTTAAGATAATATGTTAGGATCTCCAGAAGATTCCGGATGATTTTGGGTTTTTTTTTATATATTTTTGAAATTTTGCTTTGAAATAGATAAAAATAAAATAGTTTTTTAATATTTAAATTAATCTATACTTTATTATAAAGTATTTGATAAAAACTCTTAAAAATAATTTTTAATGCATGAAGTACTGTATATTGATGT